TGTGCTTCTCTAGCTGACCACAGCAAGCTTGCAACAACCTCTATTAGTAAATTACTAATACATTTACACGGTACACATGTTCGTACGGAATTTTCAAAAAAAAGAGAGTAAAACTTCCGCGTCGCGCGCATTTGTTGAGCTTATTAAAAGATATTTGTGTTTTAGGATAAATGCATTGTGAGTCCTAAAACTTGTAACGAAATGCAGTTGCATTCTAAAACTTTCAAAAAGTGCAATCAAGTCCTAAAATTTATCACGAAACTGCAGTCAAGTCCTAAAACTTTCAAAAAGTGAAATCAAATCTCAAAACTTGTCACGAAAGTATAATCGGGTCCTAAAACTTTTAAAACGTGCAATTGACAGAATAACTGTTTTAAGACTTGATTGCACTTTCGCGACAAGTTTTAGAACTTCTAATGTACTGATGAATGATAAACATATAAAACATCCGCCTTGTTATACCAAGGTATACATGCTTCAAATTTTCTAAGTTATTTCGTAAATTTACAGTATTCAATTAAAAATATAAGATGTCAATTATCATTTATATACCAAAATATGATCATGTAATATCATATTCACATAAACTAATATGATATAGCTAACACCGCTAGTTCCTATTAGCAAAGCTCATCACTGACAATGGTTTAATATTGAACTATGAACCTTGTGTACGGTACCCTGTATAATATTTAAGTATATACGTATGCACTTGATTATTTATGATTTTTTTTCTTCGCAAATTTTTTAAGTTTAAAGGTGTGGAACGATGGGAGGAAGCTATCTCTTTTTTGTATTTTATTCTCGGTGTTATTATGTCTTAAGATTATGCCACTACTTAGAAACATACATGTACCTTATTATTAATGCACTTGTGTTTTTATGTCAGCTATTGAATGTATCGGTTATTACATTCATGGCATTTCTTATTCGATAATTTTTGTAGAAACAATAGAGGATAGTGTAGGGTACCCTGTTATCTATGAAATCGACTTCCAAGACCTTACGGGTAGATTCCAAGTTTCAATTATTCGAAACCCGATGTCTATAGTATATATTCCGAGGCAGGGCTAACACCCCCCACCGATCTCGGAACCCGCACACCCCTACTCACCGGTAACGGTATTCCGAAGACCAAGCATCTTTTCTCTGTCTACAGAGATGATTATACGTGGGTTTACTTCGATCTTATGCTTGTATATGCCATCTAATAAAGAATAAACTAAAGTCGCTAAAGCGCATCAACCTTATCCTCCATGCCCTCTCCATCGTCCAAGCTCGCCAAAGTCAAAGCAGCCGCGCACACAAATTTAAACCTTCCCAAAACACATCGACGTCTATCTTCACCTTCCTCCACTTCACCATCAAAAGCACCGAAAAACAAAACAAAGCGTCGTGACTTAAGCCAAACGAAATACGCAAGCCGTCGCCAATGATTTCAAGATAAGCACACACCCAATTAGCACTAAACGCATGGTGGGACACACGAAATCTAGGGCGGATGATTCGACGCCCCTTCAATTAGGCAGGGGCGCGAAAGGGACGGGGGTGTCTGGCGAGCTTATCATTTCTCAAGCCATCGACGATAATAATAATTTATGGTTTTCTTCGTTTGGATACTCATAATGAGCACTAGCCATGTGCAATTATTGTACTTTTCGAGAAAATTGATAAGGAAAGGAGAAGAAAGGGAAAAGAAGGGGGAATTTTCTTGGGCCAGCTTTGGACAGCCAATGCCATGCTCAGAATCGTCCCCATCATTTCACCTCGATGGCTCCATGAATTCCAGTGATGCACCACTTGGCGTGGATTATTACTGTACCATGAGAGATGGGAAATCGAACTTGGAAACTCTGTGAAAATCGCTACGACTTGAAAGCTGTTTGATTCAAAATGAGCATGAAAAGTAGTTGGCAACGATTCTTTCGGCGGTGACTTCCGTCGCATAAAGGTGACACTTTGTTCCCAAGTCATGTGTTTAGAGGATGAAATAAAATGGAAAACATTGACCCAAATTCGATAAGACAGAAGGAAGATGGGATAAGGCTTTGCTAATTCGATCGATAGGTATAGATTGACCAACTTGTGGAGGAGAAGGCAACAACGGCACGAGATAATTTTATCGTTGCTTGTCAATCTAAATCACCCAATATTGAGTTAGGATGATGTGTGGATTCCGAACTTTATATCCAAGAGTGGAACCAAGAGAATTGTTGGGTCGAGAATTCAACATAGCCATGGCGGCTCTAGGCGAAACGTATACATTTTCATGAAGAAAATGCAATACAAAGATATGTAAAAGTCTGATATCTCAATAATGCTTTAGGATCGGAAATTGCTTCCAAAGTTTAGAGTGCAAATTCGCTCAAACTTGTTGGGCCGAGAACCCGATTCGACCACGAAGTCTCCACAAAGAAGAAGGCCACACATGGAATTGTCATTTCCTTTGTCCTCTCCTCTTTTTCTAATCTTTTTTCGATCGTCTTCTCCTCTTTTTCTAATCTTCTTTCAATCTTAGAACATACAATCCATAGAATGAAAAGAAGAAGAAGTGGGATTTACAATTTCGAATGACAACTACGAGCTCACGCCCCAATTTTTCAAATCGCCGAGACATCCAATCAAAGACGAGGAGGGAGATAAGGGTGGGTGGAATCTAGTAAATCCACAAAAAAAAAAATAGTCAAAAAAGGGGTTCCAAATCCAACACGTTCTTTCATGGGTTTGGATTGACCATACCAGATGATGATAGGGGCGAGTCAGGAGGCGTACAAAAAAAGCTTTACAGGCCAAACAAATGATTAAGATTGTCACGAGGCATTACACCCCCTCCTCCTCCTCCTCCTCCTCCTACTCCTCTCCTCCTTAATTAATTTAATTAATTTATACAAGGACAAAAAACATTGATCGAAAATGACAAAAGAAGCCAAATTAAAATTTTAAAAAAAAAGGGGATTTTTTTTGGGTAGGGCCCGCACGTGATAATTGAAAGCGAGAGAACCTAAAAAAACAGGCGTGGGATGAGGGGAACATGGAAACAGTGTCCAGTGTTGGGTTCGAAGGGGACAATGTGCTCCTGAATTCCTCTGTTCGAAGAGAGAGCTCGGTTTTGTCTTCTGTGCATCCCTCCTCCTCCACTCTCTCCAAGATTCTGCATGTTTTTTTGGATTTTATATATATACATATTTGGATTATACATTGATTATATAGATTCCTATAAACAAATATAGATTATATATATTAATAGGCTTCTTATATGATGCTATACAAAGTTATTATGGAGCACCAAGTTGATATTTCTTTGCATTTTCAGGGTGTATGTCATAGTGTTTAAATAAGATTTATGTTCTTGTTGTTTAAAATGCAAGGCTGCTTTGAAAAGGGCTCTTTTGATGGAGCAAAAGGGACCTAAAAAGAGGGGCCCTTTTTGGTTTTACTTGCTTGTGATCTTTCTTGTCTTCCTTTTCTTCTCGCTCTAGTGATTGAGATTCCACACTAGGCCACAAGATTGGAACAAGGCAGAGGCTTTTGGCAGCTTTTTTTTAGGGGGGGGGGGGGGTAGTTTTGATAGATATGTTGCTTTCTCTTTTAGAGCATGCCTCAGAAAGAATGCCATCATTGGAATAGGACCCCGAATTTGGGCCCTGCTCTATCCATTTTAGCTTGCATTTGCTGTAGAAATTAACATTTCTTGGGAGTGTGCGATCGATGAGATGTTATCACATAAGCAAAACTTGATGGAGTCGTGTTATGTTGCTGCATAATTAGGCGTTGCTATTGGTTTATCAATTTTGAGCATAATATGTTGTAAACTTCCTTTGGCATAGGAGTCTAAAGTCCATAGTCTTCTCAAGTCAATATCATCCTTTCAATTAATGCCTATTATTGTCGCGTTTGTTTTCCCTCATGCCATGATACAAGTGACTATGGTAGTATGTGTAAGAGTTTTTCTAACGTGGACTAAATTAATTGAGATTGTAATTTACCGTTTTACAGAATTGGTCTAATAATGTAAAATATAAAGATTCTTAATTAGTCTAATATGAGACTGGTTAGTGTGTGCCAAATAAAACCCGGTCTGTGATGAGAGGGCCTATGACTCAAATATCTATAAATAGTGCTCAAGTTTCTCCTTTAACCCAGATGCACAAATAACCTCACATAAGGAGCAGTTACATAACGCTATTCATGAGGGGCAACCACATTGAGCCAGTGATACAGAGAGCAATAGAGGAGAAGAACTTGCACTAAAGATCGTCGCTATTCCGCATCAAGAACGATAGATCCTAAATTAGGTGCGCAAATCTCTTTTCTCAATTACTGTGTTCTAGATTGTAGTTAAGGAGATTTTAGGTGCCGTTTTCGCGGCTTACGGTGTAAATTCAACCATTCAAAAGAAATCATCAACTATCACTCAAGTCCTAAATTTACCTCGACTCTAAAAATTACCACTAGTTTCTTCGAAATTATCAATATCCCCACTTAAGAGGTTCAATATCAGAACCCACATTTTCATTTACACCCTCACCATCGTATTGAACCGTGGTAGCCTTCCAATGTTGATAATTTTGAAGAGATCGGTAGCGATTTTTGATAGTGTTTACGGGGGCAGATTTGAGACTAAAATGAAAGTTAAGTGCTTTTTTTTTTTGACAAATAAAGAGTTCGGGACAGAATTGGAATGTAACCTAAAGTTATGGGGTTTTTTAGGAAATTAGGCCAATGTCCGAGGAGTCCAAATCCATGAAAATTCCTAAAGTTGGAGTCTAGGGTCGAATTGGGGGGGTGGGGCATGACCAGCTTCTCTTCTTTTCCTTGTTAATTCTTGCGCTATGATCGCAGGCCATGGATTGGGCTTTTCCATTACCCTCTGCACCTCGAGGCCCAAGACCATAGGCCCAATCCTACAGGCCCAAGCCCACAGGCCCGTGAGCAACGGGCTCGTTACGATCGGACGCGTCACGTCAGCGGCTCCTCCAACTCGCTCGCTTGGATTGAGTCAACTCACCGGGTTAAACCTCTCGACGACGAGGGTTTTTGCGGTGCGGAGAGACGTTGCCGCTTGCCAGTTGCCGCCATTAGCGCGAAGCTCGAGCCTGGTCCGAGCATTCGATCCTCGCCGTCGCAATGGAGGGGCTGAAGGTGTCGGATGCGGACTTGGTGGTGTTCATCCACCCCTCGAGGAGCAAACGATCGTCTCAGGCGATCCTCCGCGAGCTCAGCTCCCACCTCTTCCAGTAAGCTCCCGCGGTCTCTCTTTCAACGAAGTGTTTCGCGACATCGTTTAGGGTTTCGGATGTCATATGGTCGTGTTCGAACTGCTGATTCGAGAGAGAGCGCACGGTGTGTTCAGCCTCCGTTTTGTGCAGATCAGTCAACCTTTGGCTTATAGTGGTGGAATCCATAATGCCTTGTTGTTGTTGTTGTTGTTTCGTGCCCTCGATGATCTAGCCTTCCGTCGCTGGTTTTTTCTGTCGCTCGGGTTGTAATTTCCAAGCATTGTCTCTTCTTCTGCAGGTTTAGTGAGATTTTTGATGGAGTACTATTGGCTTATGACGTCGATATTGTCGATACAAATGCAAAGATTGTCCATGATATCCTACCATACTCTGGCATGAGACTCAAGGCAAAGCTGCTGCTTTTTTCTCCCAAGCCCAATATGTTGCTGGGTAGATTCGCCGTTCACGTCATCTTCTGTTTTTGAAATATTCGATTTTTCTACGTCAATGATTGCAATGCTAATCTGGTTTAATTGCACTGCCTGCCGTATGCCTTCACTATATGTCTGGGAGGCTGAATGCCAGAGAGATGGTTGTAGCTCTTGGTTTTCTTATTTGACATGAATAAATATATGTTGTGCATTGGTCTCTCCCTTTTGTATTGCCATTGATTTTCCCTATTTATTTTATTTTTCAGAGGGGAAGGTTGTAAAACTTACACCGGAATCCATTCATGTTATTGTTCTTGGATTTGCATCTGCTGTAATAATTGATGAAGACATTCGTGAAGAATTTGAATATAGAACTGTAAGGAGCTCCTTTATCCTTTTCTTGTTATGCTTCAGCTATGTGATCTTTCTCGTACTGTGAACAGGTTTCCATGGTTTTGTCCTCAGCATGTCTTCTAGTCATTTTTCTCATTTGGTTGAGAGAGACCCTTTTTTCTGAAATGCCCCTTCCCTTCATTAATTTACTTTTTGTGCTGCATCAGATGAACACAACCCTATCTGAACGCCTCTACTATGCATGATTTCAAGCTAACTTGCTCTGATGACTGGCTCCACTTAATGGTTTTTGTGGCAACTTCCTTTGTAATAGACTAAATGATGTAGTGGTGATTGTTACGAGAACATTTAGCTACAATTAGACTGTTAGTTTGAGTGGCGGTCAACCTCCACTGGCTATAAAGCATCAGTTTAAGCGAACTTCACCTTAGTTGCCAAGTCCTCCCAATCATGTGTAAATTGTACATTTTAGTTGGATCTTTTGTGGTATTGGATGGCCTTAAGAGACAGTGCAATCAAGTACATGTTCTTTTTGGTTTTGCCTTACCTTGCGGAGGTTATAAAGCTCTAATTGTTTATAATTTATCCAGGTCAACTTAGTCACAAATCATTGTACATGAGTAACAGTATCTTATACCGGAAGAGGATAAACATGTATTGTTTTTTTTCGTTTTAATCACCTTTCCTTTCTAATCATCGAGACATATTAGGTGAAAAAAAGGAACAAGCTGTACTGGCTTGCTATACTTAAGTTGTGAACTGCACTGGGTCACACTGTTGTCTCCTTTACCTGGCATGCAAGATATTCAATGAGTACATGGCTAAACTAAAGAAAATCGCCCACATCTTATCATTTTGTTCTTTTTTGGTGGAAATTTGTGATTTTGCCTTGCATTCAGTTTTGATGAGCATAATGGCTGTATCAACTAATATCTTGCAGAAGCACGGTAAGGAAGTATATCACAGCAAAGCTCACAGGCGACACGTTATAAAGGTTGGAACCATGATACGCTTTTTAGTTAAGAGGTGACGTTTCTTTCCAAATGGCTGTCTTATATCATCTAGGGTTGATAATGAACAATAGTTCCTTATGTCTTTTGCATGAAGCATTTACTTCGCTAAACTACTGATCTCTAAATGTATCTTTTTTTTTTTTTTAAAACTAAACATGCTGCTCAAGGGGCATTTTGTTGCCATGTACATAATTTTTCTTCTTCAAGATTGTTAAAGGTCTACCATGGTGTTTCTTTTTCCTTAAAAAACATCAACAGTATTTTAGCCAGTGCGAAATACAATATTGTGGCTAGATTTAAAAAATGGATATTTTGAAGGAACTCATTGGTGAGAAGGGATGGAAAGAACTTAGGAGACTTTTTTGATACATCAATCCCTCTTTTGCACCCACATGGTCTCAATGTTGGATATCAAGCAAAGGGATAATGAACCTGTCACGGAATTCATGGCATCCCTCTTTTGCACCCACATGCTCTTAATGTTGGATATCATTGATATTAACATGAATAGATCCTATCATTCAATAATCATGAACCGAAAGCGCTATTATCTTGTTGAGTGTTGTAATATAGCCTCAAAGCTAGAGTAGTCTTGTGTTTTGAAAGAATTCCCCTTATGCTTGTCTTTTGAAAGATATACGCATTTCGTGAGACTCGTTTCTTGGGAAAACTCCTCGGTCTAACTGGTGACAGTGGTTCTGAAATTTGCATTTGACAATACTTTATAAAATTCTCCTGCTGATTAGTTTTGGTATGGCAACATAAAACTGCTCTAAGGAAGTCCTGTTTGGTAGTTTCTGCTAGTTGAAGGCATTCTTTTGACAATCTCAAGCTTCATGCTACTACAAATGACGATAGTCTTGAATCTGGTGGTCATCAGTATATTGGAATAGTGAAATTGGTCCATGACTAATAATCAGCAGCTTATCAATAGTTTTCTGAGAGGGAAGCACCATTAGATGAGGTTTATTGTAGAGATAGCATACGGGAAACAATTTAGATAGCTAACATAAACTGACTAAGGATGTTGAGAGGAGGTTCTAGTTCTTTTTTCCCTTTGGCCATAAAAAGAGGCTCTCATTGACTATATACGATGGTGCCTTGTAGAAAACATTTTTTCTGAAGAAAAAACAAGCACAACTTTGAAGTCTGAGAGCCGTCAAAAACTTTGAGACTTTTATCTTAACCCACTCCCATGCTTCATGTGAGTGAAACTGCCATTGGAATCACTATCTCTTATCCATGGCATGTTCGATCAGATCAACACATGTTTCACTTTTTGGAGTTTATTGATACTTTTTAAGTTTCCACCATGTTTATTTAATGATGGTAAAAACTACCTTTGATTTCAACCTCTATTTTGACGTAGCTTGACTTGTCACATTTCACTTCAACCTGGTAATTTGTTAGTTGAGTGACAACCTTTTCCACTATATGCGTGATTTAGTTCACTATTCAGCAATTCTCTGCTTCTGTACAGGTTGTTGAACTATTGATAAATGTTTACTTATTTCTTTTGAATAAATAAACGAATTTCTTTGAGGAGCATCAATGGGGTGTCAACCCATATACGAAGCTATTACAATCTTAAGGAAAGAGACGTCTGGACCGTGTATTTTACTTTTGAACACTTTTACTGTGATCGTCTCTTTAGGTTGTTAAGATTCTTATTGGAGAAACTGGCACAATGTTGAGTGTCTGTTTGCTTTTGTGCTTTATAAACTTTTCTTTGTAAAAGAACAGTTTTGAGAGCATTAGGATTACTGCTTGATGGATGATGTGATGTATATTTTGAGAGCATGAGGGTCATTAATTATTGTATGCTGTGATTGTAAATGTATTTTGAGAGCCTGAGGATCATTTCTTTGCAGTTTGGATAAGGAAATACTGCACATATGTGGTTCCCTAAAACCAACCAACACAGGAAGCATTCATTGGTTGGATAAAATTTTTGACGAAATATCCCTCATAGATAGGTATTTTTCACGACTGGATCCTCCTTGAACCAATTGTTGTTCTTAAAGAATCTAAGCTGTAATTATTCAATGATACCACAGGAGTGGTACGAAAAGGGGGAGCGAGAATGAAATGAAGATGCAGGAGCATGCTGTGAGAGGAGGGGATGAAATTTCCTCATGCAATGACCAAATTAAAAAGTCCAAGAAACGAAGATTAAGAGAAGAGTCTTAAACGTGGGTTTTTGTCAAGTGCGGGTTGTTTCATTTGCTTACAGGTAATCTCATGTACCTGAAGTTTGTGATGCTTGTGATTTTGTCAGTGTTCTTTCTTTCACTACTTCAAAAGTTTGTGCTGCTTTGTTGGTTGTTTAGCTCAACTTTATGATATTCTTGCATGATTTCTTAAGGTTTATGTTCATGGAACTTTTAGATGCATAATAAATTCTAAAAGGACACTTGACCTGGTTGAGCTGGCTTGATGCCAAGAGTTGTGAAGCTTTACGAATTATAAGAGGAGAGTTCTAAATGTATTATATTCTTCTAGTCAAATTAATAGTCTTTTCAATTAGGATTTGAGTACTATGAAGATCTTGTCTTATGAAGATCTTGTTTTAGTATATGTTATACATATTGTACTTTTTTATTTTAAGTAAAGTTGATGAAGATTATTAAAATCTAGCAAGTCATTGCTTTTGAATTGTGGGATTCAATTCTTCTTTCAGTTTACTGTTTAAGAAACCCTGGGTAATTTGCTTAGTGAAAGGAAGTCCCGAGGAACTTTCCTGTTTCTGGTTCGTAATAAATTAGGATTACTACATTGGGACTCTAGTCCCAGATTGGTTTTGGTACCTTCAAGGTGTCGATTAATAATTTCCTTAAAAAATGGAGAGCAATAGTGAGTTGAACCGAAAACTTGGTGAATTAAATTCCTTTGCATGAGGAATGATGATGTAGGATGACTAGTCCCACAACAAAGAATTAAATCTTTAGGCTTCACAAGTGCGTACCTAGAATTTCTTAAGCATCACACACGAGAGAAGAATTACATCACAAAATCCCAAAGCAAAGAATTGCCAAATTCAAATGATTGTCAACTCTATTAAAAAGAAAGAATGACAACATATGTATAGACTCTCCAAAGTTTTCTTTAAGTCAAATAAGGAAACGTAATGTCCTAAGAAAACTAGGAAATACACATATCCACCACCAACTAGGAAAAGGAAACATAAAATCCATCCCAACTAGGATAAGTAAACTCAATAAAATCCTAGTAACACTCAAATCCTACTTAATAACTCCACTAATTAAACTTAAAACAAGTATCTTTGTCCTTCTAGGACTCTTCTTTAAGTTGCAGAGTCCATCTTTGCCAAAACTTGATAAGAACATTGATATTTGAACAAATAGCATGTTGCATGATTGCATTGGCCGCATCAATCTCCCGTGAGATTTTGTGGGATCACTGCCAATTGTTCTAAAAGTTTAAGCTATCGAACGAAGGTGTGGTTTAATATTGAGATATTCTATTACTCCCCCTCACGCGTAGTCTAGTTTTGCCTAGCATTAAATGTGGAAATATTTCATTGGGGAGGCAAAATAAGGGTCTGGAAACATTCAAACTCAGGACCTCTTGCTCTAATACCATTTGAGATTTTGTGGGACTACTGCCAATTGTTCTAAAAGCTTAAGTCATTAGATGAAAATGTGGTTTAATATTTAAATATTCTATCAAGTTGGAGAAAACTCGTCCTTGAATTTGAAGTGTCCACCAATTGGATTCATCAGTTATATCCGCATGGAAAGCGGCCTAGTTTAAATCTTCTTCACCGTCTTCTGGTCGTTGGTTGACCCCTTATCATCGAATCTAATATGCAAATTATTCCTCTTTGGGCATTGATAAGACATGCGACCCGCTCTCTACACTCAATGCAACATTATTCTTGCTCGATTTATGATTGACCTTAAACTTTTCTTTGGTTTTAGCCATGTTTGTTGATAATTTGGATACATTGGACCAAACTTATTCCGACGTGATACCACGGAATGCATTTTTGAGCTTCTTGCTTGATGCCTCCTCGGCTTGAAAGCCAAAACTTCGTGCTGAAGGATAGTTTAAGTACTCATCTATATTCAAGGCCACTTGAGATGCATGCTCTATGTTGTATATGGGCTGTCTATGTATCTCCCTCTTGAGATCAGCCCTCAAACCAGCCATAAATTCAGCCAATGTGTGATGGGGATCCTCCGCAATTTGACTTAGAGCATTAAGCTCATCAATTATTTCATATACTCTGCAACGAACATGCTTCCTTGCTTTAGATCCATGAGTCTCTCACACAATTTGTCATGATAGTTTGCTGGCATATATCTCTCTCGAATCTTCTCTTTCATCTATTGCCATGTGCTTGTAGGTGGTTGCCCAAGTTACCTTATGTCACTTTCAATACCATTCCATCAGAATTTTGCTAGGCCAATGAGTTTCATCTGCCAAATCTCACTCTTCGATCATCACAATATTCTCCACTGGTTGCCAACCAAGCAGAAGAGGCTGTTGTGTCCAATCTTTGAAATCCGAACTTCAATCTTGACTTTCTTAGTGATATCTCCAGCAGCATCATACGACTTTGATCCTCCTTGGTTGAATTGTTACAGTGTTGCTGCTACTTGAATCTGTTAGTGTCACATCCATGTTTCACCTATAACGAGAGGTCTGACAAATCCCTTCTTCCATGGGTCTCTTCTCGAGGACAACAAACAGCTTCTTTATCTGCTCAGAGAGCTTGTCAATCTTACTGTTTTGTTGCTCAAACGTTCATCAATTTTGTTCATAGCATCCTATGATCTTTATGCAAATGCATTGAACTCAAGTTCACCTCGCCAACCTTGGAGTTAAACTCCGCGTTGTTCACCATGATAGTACGAACTTCAGCTCTGATACCAAAATTTATGTACAACGACGAGTCCCACAACAAAGAAGAAATCTTTAAGCTTCACACGTTGCACCTAGGGTTTCTTAAGCATCACACCTAAGAGAAGACTTGCATCCCAGAATCCCAAAGCAAAGAATAGCCAAATTTAAATAATCATCAACTTTATTCAAAAGAAAGAATTACAACCACAAGTATACTCTCTCAAATTCTACTCCAAGTCAGATTTGGAAACCCTATATCCTAATACAAGGAAACATATATATCCACCGGCAACTAGGAAAATGACAAACTAAATCCAATCCCAACTAGGAAAAAGAAACTCATTAAAATCCTATTAATACTCGATTCTTTATTGATAAATTTACTAATTGAGCTTAAAGAATCTTGATCCTTCTAGTACTCTTATTTGAGTTGCAAAGCCCATCTTTGCCAAAACTTGATAAAAACATCAACATTTAAACATATATCATCTTGCAAATTGTTAGCTGCATCAAATGAGTATCATGAAAGTAGAATGTAGAAACACTTGTAAAGCAACCTGATGAAATCTCTATTCACTTCAAGAAACTATTTGCTGCTCAAGAGAATCGGCCTATGTTAGAAGCTAACTGGTCCCTTCCGCAAAGGCAATACATGGGTATATTTCAAGATCTTCAAATGTTATAAGAAGCAATGCTTGAGGATAAAGCATTAGATCTCAAGATACTCTTTGATTGCATGGAGAGGATTGAGAATGTTTAAGAATCAAAGCATGATATACATTCAATGACGTATGCTACTGGAATTAGGTCAAGTTACATGTCAATGTTCAACCAAAGTGCATATTGATTGAAAAAAAATAAAATTCAAATTAAGGTGGGTTGTTAGGATCCCACAAGAAGAGTCAAGGATATTAATTTCATCAAACCATCTCAGTGGAAGCATTCAAACTAGAATGTTGATCAACAAGTCTCGAAGTATGCTCAGACTCATGGGATACTTGGTTTGAGTTTTGGAGGTCATGATGATTAAGGAGAATGCAATAATTCCAATTATTGGGCACTTAAAAACTCGAGGATGAGTTCTCTCTAACCGGTGGAAATGCTGTTGGCAACAAGATCAAACGACATGCTATTTTTTTAGGATTTGTTTTTAGCAATTTTATCAAATTTCGTTTTCCTATATTTAGGTAGGATAATGTATTTCATTTGCTAATGGTTTCCTATTTTTAATTATATGTCTTGTTTAGAGATTTTCTGTTTCAAGTAGGAGTAGGGTTTGTTAGAAGAGTTTATAAGTATGATTGTAATTCTCCCTTTTAGAATAGAGTTGATGAAGATTATTTTATTGAAATTAAGCAAGTCTTGGCTTTCGAATTGTGTGTTGCAGATATTCTCTTAAGTATGGTGCTTAGGAATCATTAGAAGTGATTCTGAAAGAAATTTCTTGTTTTGAGGACCTGTTAAAAACAAAGTCAGGCTCATTCTAGGACTCATTGTCCTGCGTCAGAAAGAAGATAAGACAGTGATTTTCTGGAGGTCTCAAGAAGTAATTCCAATTTCTGTTGTGACCAAATAATTCTGTTTCTTTCTTGGCTAATTTATTTGGACTGCAATGATAGTTATTATGCAATTAAGATAGATATGTGTCGTTTGAAATATGAAGTAATAGCTGATGTTATTTCTTGGGCTGTGGAAAGAGTGTAGTGTAGAACAAACTTTATGCTTGCTGGGTTTTATAAGCTTCGAATGCAATACTGGCAACGGATCTTTAGTATTTTTTGTAACCGACATGTTCCCTAGAAACACTTTTTAGCCCTGGGTTATTTCAATGTGTGTTTATTGATGCACGAGATGGTCCTGTGATCTAAAAGCTGGATATTTTAGAGCTTGATGGATGAATAATTCATGCCAGCTTATATAAGGTGTGAAAAGTAAATTTTGAAAGCTCTCGCAGTTTGATGCTATAAAAGTTTTTTACTTTGGCAGCATGTAGTTTATTAGAAAGTTAGGGGTCTCCTTCATTTAAAAGAGGATAGATAGGACGACAAAAGTGAAGTTTATTATTATGATATGGTGATGGGAAAACGAAGCCAATCTCTGGCCATTATTCCTTCAGTCTTTCCCCAATGATGGGAAGGGGCTGATTTAGTGCACTGTAGTTCGGGAGAAGAGGCACTGTCTTTGAGTTATGGTCATTGGTGTTCTAACTCTCTGTAGTTTGGGAGGAGAGGCACTCTCTGAGTTATGGTCATTGGCGTTCTAACTCTCTCCTTTATTAGTAAAAAATCATGTTGATGTCATGTATGTGCAATATGCAAATCAAATCAGCAGTCAGTAACTAGTTTATAAACATACTGGGTTGTACGATGTAATTTTAAATGCGGGCATAAATGTGTGCCATTTTCCGTATTTTTCTCAATGACTTTCTGCTAAAATTCTAGTTTGTAGCCATTGTCCTTTTGGACTAAAGAAGACCACCTTTGGTTTGGCCATATTGTTGTCCTCTCTAAGAGTTCATTCTTCCATCTCACGGAAAGTTTGTCTTGATGTCAGAAATAATATGTCTATAAGACAGCATCTGAGGTTGAAGATTGTGTATCAGGAAGTGCTTAAATCTAATAGTGGCTATCTTGCACTGTTGAAGGTGAATTTGTCTCTTCCTAGCTTTTGGTGGTGTCTACAATTTCTTAGAGTCCCTGTGGACCCCACCTAGTTTACTTTATGGTCAAATGATGACTTTTGCTTCCGCTGGGATTTGATCCCAGGACATGCCCATTGACATGGATTTCACAAAATTGGTAAAACTTGATGGCAAACTGCAGGCTGGGAGGATGTTGAGGACATGGGTTCCTTTTCTGATTAGATGGTTTAAGTTCCCCCCAATTGAACAATGAATCTGAGGGATGGATCTTTCTATGGGTTTATCTATGGTACCATATTTTGAATTTCATTCTACTGTCGTTATGAATTTTATGTGATTCTATGGCAACGCTTGTTATTCTTTGTCAGACCATATGTGCCAGAATTTTACACTTTATTGCTGAGTTTATATGGTTTTTTTTCCTGCAGGTGTTTTTACTTATTTATTCCCCACACATAATTTCTAGATTCTCCACCCATGACCGGGTGGGAAGGTCAAAGAATTCAGATCAAGGGAGACTACAGCTGGGTGAAACCATCCTGCGATATATCATGTTAGCTCTGATCATTCAATCCAGGGTACAGTTTTTTACACATCTAAACCAGTGTATCCTTAGGCATAAAATTCTTGGTGTCATCTTAGATCTCAATAGATGCAGTTGGGCTTTGATTACCTTTTCTTTGTCCAGTGAATTGTTCTTGGTTGTTGGTCTACGCTTTGCCCATTCAAGTAGCTAATTGTTTACTGAGCCTATATTTGAGATGTTTTTCCCCACCTTTTCTGTGCCACTTCATATCCGTTGCAAGTTTATCCCAATGAGCTGGTTCAGGTCCTTCTGGATTCAAGTTGCAAAGTCCTAATCTGGTGGAGGGGGTACTCTCAGTGTAATATCTAGTTCAAAAAGGAGGAACACTTTCATGAGCACTGGAAGCTCGTGGCTTGGTGAGCGTATGTTAATTCTTGATGACAATATGTGTGTGGTGATCAATTGTCTACATCTAGGTGGACTGAAAACGTTGTTGAAAATTGAGACATCTCTATATGGAGATCTTCCTGGCTTCATTTCCTTTCACATTGACAAGGAGTACAAAAAACCATAGATAAGGAACAGCAAGCATTCCCGTTTGGTTGGATTATCACAATTCTGTAAAGATGTCGGGATCAACTTCTAATTCGGGAAATGGATTGGCCCTGCAGCCGGATGTGAGGGCTACTTACCCAAAAATAGGAGATGAAGATCACTGATTACCATCGCAATTACCATCAGGTATGGGGTTTCTTTCGATAGGTGCCCTTATTGATTCTGGGGCCCCCCGACTATATATTATTTATGGTCGATAGAATACGATATCTCTCACGACCCTTATTTGATCGATTGCCATCGAACATGGTGGTGTCATATAAATGAGTTATGTGAGTGAAGGAAGAAGACCTGTGCCGGGGGGTATGGGAGGAGGTGGAGCTTTCAGGTTGGTGAATGATTCTCACTCCCATCCAACGCCCCATGTGCGTTCTCTTGTTCGATGCTTTTTAGTTTATGAGAAAAAACAGAGCAGTAGCCAACAAAAGCTTCCCTTGTAGTCCGGCCCTCTAACATGCTCCATGCCCTCTTTCAATGCATCCAGAATCACAACCGTACATTTTACACTTTGTGCATGTGCACGACCTTAGCTAATCCAGAATCTTTGTTCGGTCTACCTTTCGCTGTATGACCCACCTCTCTCTCTTTCTCTCTGCATGTTAATGTGGCAAGGATCGTCCTTGCACATGTAAAGATAGCGGGACGAGCTTTACTTGCTAGAAGCTGCGTAAAGAACAGAAATAGTGTGATCATTGATGTCTCTTAATGCTTGGATAAACAAGTGTTGCCTCTGGAGACAATACGATTATGTTTCCTGACTTAGCCATCTGAACAGATGGAAAGATGGGCCATTTGTCAACCGTCTGAATGAATGGGTCGTCTGCAGCTGGTGTGCAGCGACGGATTCATGAGGACGCAGGAGGCCTTCCTAATCTTTTTCAATCATTCACAACTTTCAATCATTAGCACTTAACATCCCCACCAACTGTAATTCCTCCTTACTAGGCATGAGAGATCTTGATTGCGACACTTGGATCGCCCATATGCATCATGATGCCCCGTAATCACGTCCATTGGGTCGATTAGGCCTCAATTATTTCAAGTGATCTTAGCATATCTCTTTTGTTTTTTTGTTTTTTTGGTCTGAGCATCTCTTTTGTTGGTCGTCCTAGATGCTTATGAGACGTCATTCTCACGTTCCTTGTGGGATGAAGGCTCTCGCAAATCCCACATTTGTTGGGATTAAAGTCGGGCGCGGTCAGTGATGATTTGCCCTTCAGTGAATTTGCCGACACGCGGATCTAACTTTAGTGTAATGTATGATATGAGATTCATGACCACACAAGAAGCGAAAGGACTCGGGCATTTGCCATGCCTGCATGTATAAGTCCATTCTTTCGAAAACTTCGTTTCTTGTTGATTCTTCGTGGGAAGTGGGGGAATCGAACCTGTGCGAGGTGAACACTCGAGTCGAGTGCCGGATTGAGCACGGTCTGTTGCGAGAGAAGTAAATGTCTTGGTATCTCATATAGTCTTCTTGCGCACGCATCTAATTCACCCATTATTGGCTCAATCACTTAGAAAGTTATAGATGTTTTTAGGCAAGCTTAGCTGTTTTCGTTTTCACCATATCGAGAGACGGATCAGAGTCGTCAGACAAATAACTCTACTAAAGGTCATAAAAGATTGGGACCTCCTCATCCATGCATGCACTGCCGACCGATCCTGAAATCGCATTTGTTATCTCTCTGTCATATTGTCACGTACGAAGAACCTGTGGGCGTGTACCAATCAAGACAGCCAGAAATTTTATCCGCGAACCCTTTAGATTTCGATTTAGATTCCATTCATCCACCGCCCAATTTCCCTTTTTTTTTCTTTTTTTTTTTTAACATTATGGACGTGCGTTGACATCATTACAGCCCAAGTGCTCTTCTCTTTTGCAATCATTTTTTTTGTTGGAACTTCGAAATAATAATAAAAGGGAAAATTTCTCATATTGATTAACTAGGAATCTCCCACCCCATTACGTGAGAGATGGTTACAAAGTGTGTAGTACGTGAGTGCACCTCCATCTGTACTGCCTCCGCCTTTTAGCCGCATGGAATTGGACTTTTGTGGGCTAAATATATAAATCTAAGGGAAAAAATCGTAGTTATTATATTAATATGTTTTTTAGAATATTTGTAATTTTGGCTGATTCTTGTTGAAGAAAGATAGCGTCGGTTGATACCAAAGCGAAAAGGAACGTATAGGCACAGCTGTCTGATTTCCAGTAACTGGTATTTTTAAAATCCGGAAATTCAAAGGGCTTCTTGCGGAATGCTTGAGCATGTAGGTACGCTTCATTTTCCTTACGTGATTTGCATTGACAATAAAAATTTTGTTAGGTCGAAAGAAATTATCTGTATCTTTGGCAGGAGATAGCATTGAGTAGAAAGGAACATGGACTTAAAAAGACGTCGAAGGAGAGGATAAGGAAAGAAAAGTATAGAGCACCCGAGGATCAGAGCTCACTGAATACATGATAATATCAATGACTTTGGTTTCGTGGTTACCCGTCTTTACATTGCCTTCGCGATTCATATAATGAGTCAATTTGTATCTGCTACACATTCTATTCACTATGTTGTCGTGCTGCATATTGTTCATTATTCTTCTAACTCTAGCCTGAAGTTACACACCTACTCAGATGCGGACTATGGTGGGGATGTCAATGATTGTACTTCTACAATAAGATTTTGTATCTTTCTTGGTGGTCTTTTGATTTCTTGGCTAAGTAAGAAGCAAACCAATAACTCATGGTGTAGTACCAAATTTGCGCATCACGTTTTGGCTAATATCGGTGCCGACCTCGCATGGCTGCGTGGGCTTTTGAAAGATATGGCAATTCCCTAAAAAATCAGCTGCTATCATTCAGAGCAATAATAGAGTCATGATTCAGATTGCTCGAAATGTAGTTTTTCATTAGCGCCCAAACATATCGAGGATGAACGTCACTTTACTCGACAACATCTCCTTTGTGGAACTATTGATCTTGTCCAGGTCTCTTTTGTTGGTCAAAGCACGGATGGCCTTACAAAGGCCCCTCCTCTCGCAACGTTTTAGTGTCTTATCCAGACTTTAGTCAGTCTCTTTGGAATCACTTTGAATTTGAAGGGATGTTAGAATACGACTCATGTTTGCTTGAGGTAGTTTTCAATATTAACCGAAATGAAATAAGATGGTTAATTTTCTATAATAAAGATTTGATTTCACGGCTTCTATTAACTGCTAAGATGAAGAAAAGATTCGCTCCTCATTATTTATCCTCTTCTGGCAAAAGGGTTCCTATCTAATGACACCTTGAACAATAAACAAAACTTCACTCATTTGTCCCTTTCAGATTTATTCCTTCAAACAGTAGTCCACCTAATTCCTCCTCCTCCTTTTTTCCTACCCTTCTGTTGTCAGTTCACGGAGTTCTTGGCAATGAAGTAGAGATCATGCGTACGGAATTATGAACTAGTTCTCTTAAAAAAAATTACAGATTCACCCAACAAGCAACAGCTATACCGATGTTGACGCTTGATTAGGTACATACCTTTGGACATCTACTTAATCATCTACTTAATCCCAGATTAAGCTGTCGATCAACAGTCAAATATTTATGAGAAAAGCTAATTTAAGAGAGGTCAAGCTACGAAATACAGCTCCGCAAGTTCTCTTCCAATTTCGACCAAAAAAAAAAAGGTTCTCTTCCACAAATGATTGGTCTTAAATTTTTTTGAGGGAGACGCAACCACTTATATAAGTTGATAAAGCGGCTAATCATTAGTAATGATTAAATCATAACTAGCTCTAATTCAAAATCTACTTGTATATATGTCCATGTATGTACCTATATATGTAAAGAAAATTCCTTTGGAGGTTGCTCTAGTGGTGACACGTGGCGCTCATCCGCGGCACAATCTCCCCAAATCCCACCTTATTTTCCTTTTTTTTTTTTTTTGGTTAAAGTAAGTAGTATATAACTTTTCAACGCGCATTTTACAGCAAGTGAGGCCGAACACAAAAACCTCGTACCTGAAGAGACAAAGGTGTCCCGACAGGTAGAAAGGTGTTGCGGCAAACAAAGGAAGCACAAGAAGCGCTATACAGAGAAGGCTACCCGGCAGCCAACATAAAACACCAACAAAGACTACAAAAGAGGGTCACTGAATATAGAATCGAGATATGCCCCAACCGGCTTGAATCCTTCTGTTCCGAGGATTGTCTTGAACCGGCTTGAGAGAAAGGCCTTTGTC